GGAAGCCTGCTTCTCCCTCTCCCACTCCCCCTGCTTATGTTCCCTCTCTTGCTGTGTCTCTGTCAAATAAATAAAATCTTTTAAAAAATAAATAAAATAAATAAAAGATTTTGTCGGAGGCGCCTGGGTGGCTCAGTCGGTTGAGTGACTGACTCTTGGTTTTGGCTCAGGTCATGGTCTCAGGGTCGTGGGGTCAAGCCCCACATCAGGCTCTGCGCAGTCTACTTGTCTCTCTCCTTCTGTTCCTCCCCATGATCTCTCTCTCCAATAAATAAATGAATAAAATCTTAAAAAAAAAAAGATTTTGTCTACCAAAATCTACTTACTAATAGCTAATATTTTATATATAAAAATGTGTATCTATTAAGCAGCACTTTTGATTAACACAAAATAGACACTGAGCTCACAGGGACTGAATATAATTCCAACTAAGGCCAAGAAAAATTTTTTGGTTAACCTGGGCTGCCTGCCTTATCTCAGGTAACAAAGGATTTCTTGTCATTTTTTTTTTTGTTTTTTAAAGATTTTATTTATTTATTTGACAGAGAGAGAGAGACAGCGAGAGAGGGAACACAAGCAGGGGGATTGGGGGAGGGAGAAGCAGGCTTCCCGCAGAGCAGGGAGCCCGATGTGGGGCTCGATCCCAGGGCCCTGAGATCATAACCTGAGCCGAAGGCAGTCGCTTAACAACTGAGCCACCCAGGCGCCCCTCTTGTCAAACAGTTTTAAGTACTGGGACGCCTAGATGGCTCAGTCGGTTAAGCGTCTGCCTTCGGCTCAGGTCATAATCCCAGGGTCCTGGGATCGAGTCCCACATCGAGCTCCTTGCTCAGCGAGGAGCCTGCTTCTCCCTCTGCCTGCCTCTCTCCCTGCTTGTGCTGTCTCTCTCTGACAAATAAATAAATAAAATCTTAAAAAATAATTAATTAAAAAAAAAACAGTTTTAAGTATTAAAAACACCATAAGGAACCTTGGTCACATTACACTACAATATATGTTACACTATGATGATCACATTTTTTCTATTAGTAAATATTATCAAGAACTATGTGACCACAGAGAATACAAAACACACAACACCAAGACCTTTCCAAAAGTCTTCATGAATTGAGGACCTAAAGACTCCCATTTCTCTTATTTTTCAAATTTTTATTTAAATTCTAGTTAGTTCACATATACTGTAATACTGTTTTCAGGAGTAGAATTTAGTGATTCATCCCTTACATATAACACCCACTGCTCATCACAACAAGTGCCCTCCTTAATGCCCATCACACATCTAGCCCATACTTCCCACCCATCTTCCTCCCTCAACCCTCAGTGTGTTTTCTATCATTAAGAGTCTCTTGGGGCACCTGGGTGGCTCAGTTGTTAAGCGTCTGCCTTCAGCTCAGGTCATGATCCCAGAGTCCTGGGATCGAGCCCCGCATCGGGCTTTCTGCTCAGCGGGGAGCCTGCTCCTCCCTCTCCCACTCCCCCTGCTTGTGTTCCCTCTCTCGCTGTGTCTCTCTCTGTCAAATAAATAAAATCTTTAAAAAAAAAAGAGTCTCTTACGTTTTGTTTCCCCCTCTCTCTTTTTTTTGGAGACTCCCATTTCTCAACCCAACCCAGACCAACAGAGGAGCCAAAGCCAAGTGTAGTCTGAGTCGCACGCTACTTGGCCAGGGATGTAAAGATATCTGAAAGAGAATTCTCAGGGGAAAAGTACTACTTACTCAGAGAGACCAGAGTCTCATAGTTGCTCTTCATCACATTTCTGTAGAGCTCCTTCTGCCAGTCCTCCAGATTTTCCCACTCCTGCTCTGAGAAACAGACTCCATCATTTTCAAATGACCTGGATACCTGAAATCACAAATATCGTACAGTGAGTGCCTCCTGTCTAGCCACGAAAGAAAAGCCAGCAACTTACAATCTTAAATAATAAAGGGGAGGGCTCCCCATTTAGGCTTTTTTTTTTTCCTAAAGAGGTTGCTCACAGGTGACCATATTTTTTTTAAGATTTTTTTTATTTACTTGAGAGCGAGCGAGCGAGCAAGAGCACAAGCAGGGTGAAGGGCAGAGAGAGAAGCAGACTCCCTGCTGAGCAGGGAGCCCAATGTGGGACTTGATCCCGGAACTCGGGATCGTAACTTAAGCTGAAGGCAAATGCTTAATTTAACTGAGCCACCCAGGTGCAGTAGACTAACTCTTAATCCCCAAGGGGACTACCTTGGGAACCTCTCCATTGCTGCCCGGGGGCAGCCTCAGGACCCAGAAGTTGCTGTTTCTCAGCAGGTTCTCCATGTTCTCCAGCCGCCTCTGCAGCAGCCCGTACTCCTGCAGCAGGGTCCCCAGCACGGCCCACTTGCCCTCCAGCTGGTTCCCGAACTCCACGGCCGTCTTCTCGCAGTCGGCCAGCTTCTTCTCGGCTGTCCCCGTCCGCCCCTCCAGGCTCTGTAGCCGGGCAGCCTGGGACTCCATCTTTTTCTCCACGGCCTGAATGGCGGCCACCACGGTCCAGAGTGAGAGCTCCGTGGTCTGCAAATAAGAGCTTTTCTCTGTTGCTTGTGGGGCTGGTGTGGAGGAAGTCAAAGGTGTGGAGCGGCGTTTCCTCCTGTGCTGAATGAAGAATCAGACACAGGGTCAGTCGGTGTCATTTCCAAACATCAAGTAAAGAAAACAATGGGTCCAGTGGGTCCAAGCGTGCTTAGACCTACCTAGTTTCTACCTTTTTTTAAAGCATGCTCTTTTATATTCTGATACTGCAAATTATACACGTACATTATAGTAAGAAAGTACTGAAAAGTAGAAAGAAAAAGTTATGTAAAATACCACCATTCAGAAATATGCTGTCAGAATTTTGGTGTATTTATCTAAGCCTTTTTTTTTTTTTTAATATTTTAACTTATCTGTTTTCCACAAAGTTGAAATCATATTGTACATAATGTCTTATTACCTGCACTTCACACCTGACATATTCTCTAAGACGAACAAAGACACAATTCCTCAGCAGGACCTATAGGGCTCAACTCATTTACCTTTGCATCCAAGCAGCTGGTACAGTGAGTAACACCAACTAAATTCTTTTCTCTTTCTTTGTTTTTTTGTTAAAGATTTTATGTATTTGTCAGAGAGAGAAAGAGAGAGCACAAGCAGGGGGAGGGGCAGGCAGAGAGAGCACCAGGCTCCCCACCGAGCAGGGAGCCTACTCGGGACTCGATCCCAGGACCCTAGGATCATGACCTGAGCTGAAGGCAAACACCTAACCGACTGAGTCACTCAGGCGTCCCCAACTAAATCCTTCATAAATGTTTATTGCCGTGATTTGACGAAGCCTACTGACAGTTTCCTTACACAGTTCATCTTTACGATCTGTCCCTAAGGAGGAAAATCACTACAGCTGAAGCTCAACATTACTAAAGCCAACATGTGGGGAGTCTCCCCACCGCTCCCTCTGACCCCAATGTACCACTGCATGTTCATTTCAGTCCTCAAGCCCCAATGCTTCATGTTCTTTTCTATGGCATACACTTTCTTCAAGGCTACTTCTCTACCCGCAAGAATAGACACTGAGAGGGAAGAGCTTTGAAAGCACTGCTAGGGCCAGGACTTAAGTGTCTGGAGAAACGGGACAAAACGAACCCAACTGGCACAGAAATGAACACGTAAGCTTGGCCATGACCTACTCCAGTGACTCAATTCAGTTCATTATCGAACATGTGGGTTTAAAGCTTAAATGTCCCCCCTAAAAAAGATTTAAATAAAAGTTTAATGTAAATTTATCTTTTACATTAAAAACAAATACAAATGAAACAAAACAGAACATCAGACTGTTGGACAGGCTCCTTTCATCCCATGTTCTGCTTTTCACTTTCAGTTGCTCATCTCTAGCTTTTTGGAGCCTCCTCCTGCCTTTCTTTTTTTTAAAGATTTTATTTATTGGAGAGAGAGAATGAGATAGAGAGAGCATGAGAGGGGGGAGAGTCAGAGGGAGAAGCAGACTCCCTGCTGAGCAGGGAGCCCGATGTGGGACTCGATCCCGGGACTCCAGGATCATGACCTGAGCCGAAGGCAGTCGCTTAACCAACTGAGCCACCCAGGCGCCCTCCTCCTGCCTTTCTGTGGCCCAGCATTTTGTTGCTTGCTTAGCAAAGGAAGGTGGGTCAGGATCTGAGCACTAAGCAAAAAGCTAAAAAAAGAGATGTTAAATAAAGCTTCTTCTTTGTTTTGAACTACCTATTGAGATGGAAACAATTCAAATGTCCATCAACTGGTGAATCAATAAACCAAGGTCCATCCATCTGTTATGGGCTGAATTTTATTTCCACAAAAAGATATGTTGAAGTCCCAAGCCCGAGTACCTCGGATTGTGATCTTATCTTGAAGGAAGAATCTTTAGAGGTAATCAAGTTAAATGAGGTCATCAGCTGGGCTCTAATCAAATATGATTTGATGTCCTTATAAAATAGGGGAGAGATCTGGACACAGACAAACGTGCACTTAGGGGAAGACGATGTGAAGACACAGGGAGAAGACAACTACGTGACAACAGAGGCAGAGGTCGGAGTTTTGTTGCCACAAGCCAAGAAAATGTGTGGGGCCATCAGAAGCTATAAAAGAAGCCTGGAACAGATTCTCCGTCGTGGCCCTAAGAAGGTATCTGGCCCTAAGAAGGCATCAAGTCTGTGGACACCGTGATTTCAGACTTCCAGCCTCTAGAACTGTAAGACAGTACACTTCTGGTGTGTAAGCCCCTCAATTTGTAATATTTTGTTACAGCAACCTTAGGGTACTAATACACCATACAATAAAATACTGTTACATTATTAATGTATTAATAATTAATGTGTTAAGCACACATTAGCAATAAAAAGGGAACAAATTATTGATACACCTAACAATATAGATCTCAAAATGACTATGCTATGTGAAAGAAGCCAGACACAAAATGTCACCTACTCTATTCCATTTACATGACATTCAGGAAAGGCGAAACTATAGGGACATCAGTGGGGGTGCCTGGGTGGCTCAGATGGTTAAGTGTCTGCCTTGGGCTCAGGTCATGCTCCCAGGGTCCTGGGATCAAGCCCCATGTCAGGCTCCCATCTCGGCTGAGAGTGTTTCTGCCTCTCCTCATTTGTGCTCTGTCTCTCTCTCTCAAATGAGTAAATAAAATCTTTAAAACAAACAGATCAGTGGTTACCAGGGGCTGGGGGTGGGGGAAGGAGAGTGAATGCAAAGGAACACTTTCTGGGATGATGGAAATACTCTATATTTTGGTATTATGATGATGGCTGCACATTTATCAAAACTCACTCAACTGTATGCCTGAAGAGTGAATTTTATTGTATGTAAATTATCTCAGTAAGCACGACTTAGAGTATCAAGATAGAAGAAAATGTTAGCTGCCATGAAAAATGCCATAAACTAAACGTAAAAAAACAAACTGGGAGAGGATATTTATAAACAAAGTATGAAATGGAAAGAAAAAAATAACCCTAAATAAAACTGTAAACTGTAAGTAATTATGAGAGCAGAAATGCAAGTGGTCAAGAAGCAGTTAGGAGTGCAAATACAACCCAGGAAAATCACTTTTCACCCACCAGGCTGACACACTTGAACAAGAGGGATAAGGAACTACATTCAGAGGTGAGTAGGATATAAAACTGGCATTTTCATTAACATTCCCGGAAGGAATGAAAAATATTACAAACTTTATGGAAGGAAATTTCATAAAAGTCCCTAACAATCCTTTCACCTAGCAATCCCACTTCCAGAAATCTATCTTATAAAAACAAATGGCACTGGGGTGCTTGGGTGGCTCAGTCGTTGGGCGTCTGCCTTCGGCTCGGGTCGTGGTACTGAGGTCCTGGGATCAAGCCCAACACCGGGCTCCCTGCTCAGCGGGGAGCGTGCTTCTCCCTCTCCTACTCCGGAGGGGCAGGCAGAGAGAGCACCAGGCTCCCCA